ATGTATTTTGTAAGTGACGCTATCACACTTTTTTGTTAAAAACAATATAACTACATGCATTTATATTGTAATGAAACCAGATTATCACAGATGTTTTAGTTTTCAAATAGTACAGGATGCTACCTTTAGATACCCGCAAATACTCACGTGGCTAAAATACAGAGCTCTGATCGTAAATTCAACAAGCAGGTAGTTGCTTTCGAATGGCCAGATTATTCTAAAAGCCATTCTGTTGCATGGCACAAAGTGGTAGAGAAGTGCATCTACCCGGCCCAGATCTAGATGCTACAACCTACAAAATTATTAGAACAAATTTTTTAAATGCAGAGCGAGTTACTTTTGAACTGCAGATCTGAAGAGTCGGCTAATACTGGAAGCACATAATCAGGAAGTAGGAAGCTCACATTTCCATCCAGCCTGAAGAGATTTAAAACCATGTATCCTCTGTCCTGGAAGAACACCCAAACTCTCAGACTATGGGATTTTTCTGAGCTTTCTACTGAAACTGTGCCAAAGGCAGGAAATCAAAAGATTCATTAAGCATAGATGAGAATCTTGTGTCATTAAGCTGCAGCATTTTTCACCTTGAGGTACAGACCTTCCAGTTGTAGTTTCTGAATGCAGAACAGCTCGTGAAAGTTAAATGGAGCAGCTGTAACTACTGAATTATTATATAAAGGGCATTTTGAGGATGAGGTGTCAAGTCAGTGGGCTTTTTTTTTTTTTTTTTTAGGACACTAGGACTAAATTAAGTTCAGTCTCCCTGTTTGTGTCTTCTGACAGATGTGGCCGTCAACGGATACCTTTCAAAGTCAGTCAAAATACAAGTCAGCAAAGTGACTAGCAATTTAGAGGTGTCCTTCATATTTCCTGATGCCACAAATGTTTTATTAAAATATGGCATGTTTTTAGCACTTCATTTTAATTGTCCGATGCTTCTGAAAGTGGTGGAGGCTGCTAGCTGAATTAAACCAGAGCAGTTTCATGTTCTTTCAGCATCTAGATTTCAATCCAAAATTGACTGGTTTGCAATAACATAACTTGCAGAACTGTACTTCATGCATCTGTACAGGGTTTCTTTGTATTTGTCTTTCAGTTCTAAAAAGTAAAACGTCAATTGTCTTTCAATAATTTCGTATAATTTTTCTGAATGATACAACAGCATTCCAAAACCTTCGTATTCCTACATTTAATGTTTATTCATTGCTGCATATTGTAATCATTTCTCTTTTAATACTTTGTGCTCCAAATTAATGATCAGGGCACAGCAAATTTGCTTGCCTCTTAATTAACTATTATTAATAAATGATTTATTATCAATTTAAAGCAAAGAATTTGTTTGATGCTTTAAAAACAAAAAAATATATATAACCCAAGGACACAAAACAACTGACACCTCCCCATCAATCACATAAACAAACAAACAAGCAGAGAAATCATAACTGCTAAAAGCTCAGTTGTAGCAGCAGCTTGGTTTTGAGTGACTGACAGAGTTCAAGCTATGAGTTACATGTTTATAGACAGTGCCCATTTGCTTTAGTTTCTTCTGTTCCAGCAGCAGTGGTATTTACAAGGGTGCTCCAAAAGTAATGCCTCCTATTTTATTATGTTGGCCAATGATGTCAGATGATGGTATGGCAATAGAACCAATATTCCATTATATGTTATTGCCACATGACAGGTGGCAGCAGAGAAGCAGTCTGACAAATTGGCATCTGATGTGGAAGTGCAAATGAAGCAAATGTGTGTCACAATTCCTCCATGAAGAAGAAATGGCACCCACTAATATTTATCAAGAGTTCCTGAACACTTATGGAGACCAAAAAGCGGATGTGAACATAGTGAGGTGCATTTCAGTAGTAGCAACAGCAGGTCACCTCTGCTGGTGCAGATTTTTTAGTGTAATAATCAGACTCTTGTGAAAGAGTGTTTTGTAAGTGGGAATTTTGTGTATCAAGAGAAAAAGAGTGATTGCGCTCCTTGTATCTGTTGTGGATTCCTTGGAAATAAACAAGAGGCATTACTTTTGGAGCAAACTACATAAAACATCACCATACATTGAATGAAAATTCCAGAAGGCAACCACTTAAGTATCTAAATGTTTAATTTAGATACTTAAGTGGTTGCCTTCTGGAATTTTCATGCTCAGAGCAGTGGCTGATCCTCTTCTCTCTCTAACCCTTCCTTAGGCTTCTCTGTATCGTATAAGAAATTTGTATGCACTGAGGTCCATGAAATTTATTGATCTCTCTCCAAAACACAAGAGAAGTTTGGTATGCAGAAAGCACAATTCACAACAGACATTGAGCTGTACAAGATGTTCCTCAGTTAGCTGATTGGGAAAGCTGGACATTAAGATATCTACTGGAGAATTCATTAAAATCAGAACCCCTAATACTAGATGGGTGTGCTAAAAGGTTTATTTTCTCCCCTCCTTCTTGTCTATTATGAATTTTACTAATTATTTAGTTTAATTGTCGTACATTCTTCTGAAACTTACATTGCTGCTGCCACAGAAGAATAAATTTGAGTTCTAATATTAACATATTTTCTCCCTACACTTTTGGTTGAAGGCTGAGAGCCAGGGCTGAAAGTGTGGGGAGGAGATATACTCTTCTCCTAGCTCTCTGTTGTCTGGGGGTAGATGTACTTTGAAAATAGACTACAAATGATCCTCTGTAAGCAGAAATATGGAGAATGAAAGGCAATCCTGGCAGAGTTAGGTGCAAGCAATATATTTTATTTGAGGCAAAATTTACACGCTGAAGGAAAATCTCGTTATCAGTCAGTTAAGTACTCTGGGAATTTATTTAGTGGAAGTATAAGAGTTAACATACTAAACATTAAAATATAGCCATTACACAGCCTGTATTTTTATATGCTATAAATGCTATATATGCTATATATAATGCCATATGCTATATATGGCTGTATCTTCAGACCATTTCCCAGTGAACAGTTAAAATGCTGTTTTAGTAACAGACAAGATAGGTCAAAAATACATCAAAAATATGTGAACATGAAGATGTAGTGATTAAAAACTATGAGTATGTCCAAAATGTTTGCAGGGTTTAAAAGATCTATGTTTGAAACTTAAGCATATCCTCTTCCTTAGGGAATACTTAGAATACGTGTATAGTTCAGTGCAGGTTTGAGGTTCCAGAAAACTCACGGAATGTATAATAAATAACTAAATTTAATTCCTTAGCATTTACATTCTGTTTATGTAGTCTCAGCTATGGGAATAAATTGTTACAGTTTGCAACAGGAGAAAGTCACATTTTACTTTGAGAAACTGCAGAAATGTAAAACACACTGAAATTTTCATTCAGTTTATAGGAGTAACAATTATATAACACCAAGCATAGAATTTAATAGCCACATAATCTAAAAGGGAAAAAGTAGTTAACATTTTATTCTAACTAGAAGAAATAAGACTACAGTAACTTTAATGACATGAATTATTCTTATTAAAGGAAAAAAAATACGTCAGCATAACTTATCTTTTAATGTGGCAAGCACAAAATATTCTGCAAGAGCCTAGTTAGTGATTCTAACTGGTATAAAACAGCCATACAACATCAAATTAATCAATTCAGCCATACGGTTATAGACATCTGTTGAGGTCCTATTTCCTTAACTGCCATTTTCTCATATTCAAGGTTCCCACTTTTGCAGACATTCTCTTTCACTAAGAGGGACCCTAAGCATGGCACAAATAAACAGCTCATTTGATTCCGTGTCCTCCAGTTTGAGCTCTCAAATTTTTCCATTTTCAGATTACTAATAAAGCCAATGATATATGAGTCAGCTGGTATCTGTTGAGCATTGCCAAACTATTACCTGATAAAAATAAAATTTTGCTAAATTGGTTGTAAATCTTAGATTGGTAAATTAAGATCTCAGAAAGAGCGAGTTCTATCATAAAATGAAATCCTTATTCCCACTAATATAAAACAACATTCAGTTCAGAAAGATTCCTAGCAGAAGATCCAAGAATACTTTTACTCTGCTATCTGGCAGATTCCCAGTATCTATTCTCTATGCATTAACAAAAGCAGGTATTTGCAGTCTTTCTTACAGCTCCAGGAAGATGAGATCTTTGAATGCCCCATCAAAATATGTAACTCCTCACTTTTCTCTGCTAATAGAGCCTTTTCTACTTTCTCTGTGATTGAAGTTATTATTTACTGTAACCAAGCCAAAACACGTCAGCGTCACCAGCCCTCTCCTGATATGTCAGTGGGAGACTTGAATATTTTCCTCTCCTACCTCTTCCTACAGTTCCAGCCTTACAGCATAGTCAAGTGGAGTGAAGTGGCTTCCCATTTTGAGCTGTAGCTGGTGTGGGGACTTAGTAAGCAGGGAGTGTGGGTGATATTACACTACTGACAGTGCTGCACCTCCCCTTGGCTCCACGTGCTCTGAAGGACCTATGGTGAACACACCCTTAGAGTCACTGCAGCCCTGCTGCTATATGTTGGCAAGGACACTTGCCGCATAACCTCAGTAAGTCAGGCAACCTTATATGACCTAGCTTGCTATCTGGATGCATTAAAATACCTGTTGGCAGTTGCTTGTGCTGGAGATACGATGGTCTGGGGAGTGGCTTAAAGACAAATGTGCTCTGGGTGGAACATTCTAGCCTCCTCTCCACATATATTTTGGCTTTCCCTTTAGCAAAAAAAAAGCCCAGTAAGCCTATTATTCCTCAGGTCATTTCTAAGGACTGACATAGAAACAAGAATATATTAACTCTCATCAGGATTTGTGAGATTTGGTCCTACTACAAAACATAACAATCTCTTTAACAAGGCAATTAAACTAGCTTGGGGAAAAAAATTCTTAATGTGTTAGCTACAAGAGAAACTGCTTGATCACCCAGCTGCTTGAATTTCCCATTTTCAGAACATTGAAGCATCTATAAATCAGTAAGCTACTTTTATTTTTTTACTTGTTGGTAAACTGGTGAAACTTTAAATATATTTATAAATGCTCATATTTTCTATATTAACAGCAAGGTATTATATATAATATATATTAGCAGCAAGTTCAATACACAACACACCTGAGCCCACTGAATTTTTTCTGATTTTTTTTGTCATCTTATTTCTCTTCAGACTACTTCACCTCAGCTTCAGTTTCTTAATGAAAAACAGTCATTTCTCGTGCTGAATTGATTAAACATCTTACTGAACTTCATACTTAGGTGCGAGATAAACATCCCATTCTACCTCTTATTTACACTTTATAACGTTACCAAAAAGCATGCAAATGATGCTGTCTAAGCAGTTGAATATTTTAACAAGTACCAGTGAATTTGAACTATGACATTAAGTTGATAATTTTCTATATTTTAAATACACAGAGACACAGTGCAAGTTCAAATCAAAGCCATTCAAAATCAAAGGTAAATCTGTGTAATTACTACTTAATTTCATGTTATTCTTTCACTTAGATTTGTGTGTAAGCAGAATCAAAATTATGCAAAATTATGCACAGTCAGAAAATTTATTACTTAATTAGTAAGTTCAATTTCAAAAGCTTAATTGGGTTATAGGGAGAAGTTTATCCAAGAAACAGCCTCTTCATCGTGAAGTTCGTTGTGGGTAAGATTTGAGCCTGGAAGAATTACCTGAACCAGTCAATAGCTTTGCTATGGCATAGCCTAAACTATTTAAAGTATTCAATAGTTAAGATGGTAGTTGCTGTTAGAGAATCACTGGGATACAGGGCAGGTAGTTATACATATCCTTGGTACAAAGGTTCAATGACAATTTGGACTAAAATCCCTTTCTCATGCGTACTTTGGGGAAAGTTCAGTACAGGGTGAAGACAGTTTGAAAGCAGGGTGACTCCACTCATTTTAAAGGTTTGTTCTTCAGCATCAGCTTCTGTTTTATCTTGGTTGAGAGCACATGTTCTCCCTGAAAATGTATAAACATGCACCCAGGTTACTGTGGCAGAACTTCCTATAAGAAAGTGTTCAAACTGCAGCAGATCTAACCATAAAGGTTTGTAAGGTAGCAATTTCATCTCTTGATCTAGGTTAAATTGCTGCCCAAAGCATTATTTTTGTTATTTGTTTAAAAGCCTGGGGAAACTCCAAGCCCTGTTTCCCACAAGCTTTGAAGTTTTTCTCTACCTTACCTCAACTTCCTTCTATAGAAAGTGAATCTATCAGAATCCAGCTATGATTCTACTGTATCTGCTGACCTATTAGCAGTTGACAGTTCATTTTGCAGGGTTCCTGCAGCTCACAGCTTCTCTACATCCTGCTCTGAACTCTACTGCAGCCAGTCTGAGCAGCACTCAGCCTGTCATAAGCTGTTGCAGCAGTTGTCCTGTTTCTATACTGCAAAACTTCAGCTCTTCTGAAAATCTTTACTAAATCTTCTCTTAGTAAAGATTCAGCAGGACGTTTATGACGCATATATCAGCTGAAAGAGAGGCAGCTGGGGTTTGTATGGCAATAAGTGTTAGAATTCATTGCCAGGGATTGCAAAATACACCATACAGCCAACTAAAATTGTCAGGATGCATTTTTGAAAATTTGATGATATTTCAAAAAGATTTTCTCTACCTTTTACAATGATTAGATGTGACTAAGCAACATGAAGAAAATGAAAGCGCTAATTGTGTCTGGGCAGCTACATAAATGAACAATAAATCCATTTTCACTGAATAGGAAAGAGATGAAGAACTATCTTGGTGAGAGAACTGAGTCTCACTCAGTGGTTGAGGACAGGAGCATGTTCCTAGTGTGATAGGAAAAAGCTTGCTTAAATGCCAGCGGAGCAGAATCTTGGAAAACCACTTATATACCTTATGCACGTACCTTGTAACTTAGCTAGTTTCTATTTTGATCACTAATTGCTTTTTAAAACATTATCTAGAGTTATGGAAAAGTGATCACTGTTTGAATGAAACTATAAAACCTGTCACATCCAGTTTTGATTTCAGTGATCCCAAATACTGTATATTGTCTTCTGTATCTGAGTTGCTCCTGCTAAAACGCATGGCAGAGTTTTGCACGGAGTAGGGTAACAGGCTTTAACTTGAACTTAATGCTCACCATTATATAGCATGGAAGTTAATCTGATACAGTATGAAGATTCTCACATTTACAGTTTTGTAAACTGACTACTATGCTTTAATTTACCTAATACTCAGTGTTGAGTATTGATAGCAACAAAGTGAATGGTACCTCTTGGAATATGGCTCCAATGTAGTAAAGAAAGAAAAAAAATTTATTTTCCACTGAGCTGTAACAGATGGAAAATAAGCCAACCTCTAATTATTGAGAAATTTTACACAGTTTTTCCTCCAGGGGTTCCTAACTGCTTAACAAACTTCATTATTCCATCGTCTGAAGCAGTTACCAATTCCTGCATATATAATATCAGTCCTGTGACCTTGATGTATTTATTTCCATTGACTGCGTGACAGATCCCTCACCAAAGAAATTTCAGAGGCAGAGACAAATTGACAATGGAATTACTTATGAGATAACTGATTGGGTACATTTTTGTGGATAAATTTTGGGGTGTATATACTCCTTTGGATAAAACATTTCTGCCAACAAGTTTTCAGATGGTTTTAATGGGGCCTTCAAGAAAGGAAGCATAAAGATAGCAGAAATTGCTAGAATAAACTCTGTATGGAAGTACAGGATGAAAAAAAGAAAGATCTCTGTGTTGGCTATTCTAGAGCCCACAGAGAGATGGCTCTTGTAGCTCGTGGACATTTCCTTGTTGATTGCTACCCATAACTGAAAATTATTAAAATAGCTGCTTGTGGACAAGAGAGGGACAAGAATCATGATCACAGTCAAGGGCAAATGCAGAGTCCTACACTTGGGGAGGAATAATGGCATGCATCAGCGCAAGTTAGGGGCTGACCTGATGGAAAGGAGCTTTTAGGAGAAGGGCCTAGGAGTCCTGGTGGCCCATGAGCCATCAGTGTGCCCCTGTGGCCAAGAAGTGCAAATGATACCTTGGTGTGCATTAAAAATAGTATGGCCAGCAGGTTAAGGGAGGTTCTCCTACCCCTCTACTCTGTCCTTGCCAGCCACATCTGGAGTGCAGTGTCCAGTTTTGGGCTCCTCAGTTCAAAAAAGAAAAGGAACTACTGAAGAAAGCACACCAGAGGGCCGCAAAGCCACAGAACAAGGGGCAATGGGCACCAACTGTAACACTAAGCATTCTAAACAAACAGGAGGAAAAACTTTACCTTTGTAGGGTACAGAACACAGGGACGGGAGCCAAGAGATATTATGGAGTCTCCTTCCCTGAAGATATTCAGAACTCACTTAGACACTTTCCTGTGCAACCTACAGTAGGGAACCTTCTTTAACTGGGAGCTGGATTAAATGCTCTCCAGAGGTCCCTTCCAGCCCCTATGATTCTGGCAGTCTGTGATGCTGTGTAAATTTATAAAACACAAACCAAATTTATCCTAGTTACTTCTAGGAATTTGAATAGATTTCCTAATTTCAGACCCTGGTTGCCATCAACACCTTTTCTAGTTGATAGAAAATACCTGAGAAACATTTGGCCCACAGAAGGGCAAATCATGTTCCTGGAGATGCACGATTTGCTTTTTATCAAAGGTGTCTCCTTCTTCTAGCAGAAGCACAGTGCAACAGGGCTCCCATGAAGCTGTAATACATCCCAACAAATGTTGGGTATAACGGAGTAAAATGGCCTAAGGAAAATGAATCCAAAAACTTCAAATACACAGTCTCAGTTGTAATTCAGTTAACAGACTTTCAAATTAGTCAGAAAAATGTGATCAAAGCATCACATTAAGGAACTATTAAGAGGAATACACTTTGATCATGACTAATGAGGTGAAAGCAGAGGAAAGAAAAAAGAGAAAACCTCAGTGAAATTAAAAGATAATTAAGTATAAGAATTAATCTGCCTCTATAACATTTTATTGACAGGGCAAAGATTGGTATTAGTACATATTTAGACAGATATGGTCTTTTCAGCAAGTTCTATGCGTAAAAGCTGGGTTACTTTTCCCATGAATAAGTATCCATCTAACATAAAAGCTGTAGGTTTAAAATCGATGGTTTAGATATACTTTTTTTCTAAACACAAATGTAACTATCAAGCCTAAATTCTAGGTTTTTGGAAAAACTGTTGAAGCTTTAGTGATCCAAACAAGAACTAACACTGGTAGAATGCTGTATGTATTGATTAAGCTTTGTATCAGTCTGTGAGAGATTAAATAAGCGTTCCCTTCTGTTGACAGGAAAACAGAAACACATGGATTAAATGGATTTTCTAGTAAGAGTAGTAATAGTATAAATTTTTAGGTCTATGATTCATTTGCCAGATAGCACAGTGCTTCTGTGATAATCCCCTTAATAAGAAATCTGATATAGGTGCATTTTGTAGTGCAAAGAACTATAGCCATGCTACTAGACGTAAAGGATGAGGTATCTCCTTTGTTCTCTGAAGGACAAACACAATAAAACAGTATGATAATAAGGCTAGATTTATGAAAGTATTCATTATGAAAGTACTCATTTATCACCACTTATCTTCATATTTTATTGATCTGAAACAGGCTGTGCTACAAAAAAACCATATCTTATAAACAGTACTGAATCAACAGCTTCAAAGTACCATTACAGCTGTTGGTAGAATAAAAAAACTGTAAATATGATGCACAAAAATAATCAATGTCTTAAGTTAAATTTCAACCCAGTAGAACTTAACTGTCAGCAGCTGGTGCATTTCTATAAGCAGTATAAAATGCTGAACTTTTAGACATTATAGTGATGTTTCTTTATACTTTTCTGTGACCACTAATGGTTGCATCCTCAGTTGACTTAAGTCAGCACGTCCCTGTCAGCTCCATGCCCTATTAGCTGAGTGAACACATTTTACACCATCTGAGAGTCCCTTTTACAATTTTTTTTCCTCACAGAGTATTTGATTTTAAATTATAGAAAACAACAACAAAAAAATACATCATACACTTTGCTATTCACACGTGGACAGAACGCATAACTACCCAGCATCCATCTGTCATGGTTCTATGTTTTTGTTTTTGTTTTTTTTCTTTTGCTACCTATCCCTGTACATTACAGCAGTCACGGGATCTGACCCTTCCGGGTGGGGGAGCGCTCTCTTGCTGCCTGGCAGTGGGTGCTGGAGGGTGCTTTCCTAGCCATTCCAAGCTTTTCAGGTTTGACTCGGTCCCGGGAACTCTCTCTCTCATCTTGTCTGATTTATTCATCTCAATTGCAATTAAATTGTATCTATTGTGTTATCTTGTATTCCAATATTATAGTAAAATAAGTTTTCCTCCATAGATTGCTGCCGCTGCTCTTTTCCTCCCTTCCTTCCTTCCCGTTTTTGTGGGACTGGGGTGGGGGGGGGACGGCAGAGGCCTGTCGCCCCTGTCATGGACATAGATTGATCTGGTCAACTCCGTGACACCATCTCTTCCAAAATAAATGCTCAGCCACCATGTGTCAATCACAAACTCTGTGACCAAAGATCAACTTATGAACTTAGAAATTTCAACATTTCTAATGCAATTTTCATGACAATACCAAAAAAAGGCTGATATTATTTTTCAGTTTTTCAAAAACCAATTTTTCACTGTTTTTTTTTTTTTTTTTTTTTCCCCCCTAAGCTGGTATGCAGAGCATTTAAATAAGAAATAAGGAATTGGCTGATAATTTGGCATAGGAACAACCTTCTGCTTTATTCATTTAATTCAGTAATTTTTATGTTTTATTTTTTTGCCTTACCAGAAAGTCGAGCATTTCAATGAATAATCTTTTTTTTTTTTTTTTTTTTTTGCTATTTGATAATTAAAATCTTAAAACTGATACAGTTGCTGGACTAAAGGCCTACATTTTAGAATCATAAAAGCTGCTGGGGCTCATACTGGGGACAAGAAT